CCGGCGCCGCCGCTGGCCCGGAGACCGTGGCGTCACAGCGGCCACGCGCGCCTTCCTGGCCAATCAGCGCGCCCAAAGGGCCTTGCCCGGCGGCCCAATCAGGAGCCTCGCCGCGCGGTGCGTCACCGGCCGAGCGGCGCAGGCCGTGGCCAATGGGCGAGCGCCGAGGCCCGTCCGTGCTGACGTCGCGGAGCGGGCGAAGCGGCGCAAGGCGCGTGCGCGTGTGTTTCCGTTCCCGCCGGCGCGCGCGCGTGGCGGGCGGGAGGGAGCGGAGTAAGGCGGTGTGCGGCGGCACCGGGCCTGCAGCGAGCGAGCTTCCCGCTCCGCTTCCCGCCGGGAAAGCCGGCCGGGAGCAGCACCCGCTCCCTCCTCCCTCCGCGGCGGCGGGGGAGCGGCCCCGCCCGTGACGCGAGGGGCAGGGCCGAGCGCCCGCCGCGCCTCGGGCCTTGTAGGCCGCTGTCGGCGTGACTCGGCCGGGCCGCGCCGGCCCCCCCCGCGCTCAAGATGTCGGCGCAGGCCCAGATGCGCGCCATGCTGGACCAGCTCATGGGCACGTCCCGGGACGGTAAGTGCCTCCTCGGCCATGGTGGGGCGGCGAGGAGGGGGCGGAGCCGCCGCAGCCCCCGAGGTCACGGCGGTACCGGGCGGGTCGGGCGGTGTTCGCCGTGATTGGCAGGCCCGAGGCCCGTTGCCCGCACCCCCCGCGGGGCGGGGCTGCCGGGACCGTCAGCGGCGGGGTGGGGGTAGCCGGGCACCGCCTCCCCCCGCGGAGCTGCCGGCGCTGGCCGCGCTGCTGCTGTTGGAGACCCGCTCCTGGCGGTGTCCGCGGCGCGCAGCCTTTCTGCCCGGCAACCGGAGATGGGCACACACGCTTTCGAGAGTCTGATCAAGGGAGGACATAGCGAAACAAAAAACAACCCCCAGGCCAGCAGCCCCTTCAGTAGAGCAGGGTGGGGTGTTGTGTCGTTATAGATTTGTCTAAAGTCTGGCCCGAGACATCGTGTTAATCAGCAGTCAGGTATGGCTGTTGCTTTCTGAAAGGCAATGTGGGATTAACCGAAGTGGACAAACTCTTTTAAAAACAAGCGCCCTAAACAGCCAAGTAAAAGCTTAACATCCGGAGGCAGTCATACCCAGAGGGAGATACGAGAAGTACGGTCAGGTTTCAGATTGCCTCTGTGGTCACACAGGCAAGCGTATTGCTGCAAAAAGCTTCCCGGTGCATGGTGATCGCCTTGAAAGTCTGAACCGGCACTCGCCCATAAATCCAGATAGTTGTGGGGGGCTGCTGGAAAAGAGCAGTTCCACTTATGCTGTGCAGCTCTGAACTTGGCAACAGGAGAATTCTGCACCCGAGGGTAGGCAGCAATTAGAGCTAATTTAAATGTTCTGCATGTGGTACTTACACTCAATCTGTACTCAATCTTGCAGACGTGTTACGCTTGTGGAAGCTTCGTGTTGAATTAACAGTTACCTGTTTCCCCAAGCACCGAGTAGGATGTGGGAACTGGGATGTACTTTGTATTTCCTGATCATGTCTTGGTACTGGGCTAATGTGATATGACAACTTTTTTTTTGTATAATCTAGAATTTCAAAAAATGTAATTGGTTTACACATGCTCCTTGTGTCGTGAATGCTTTCTGCTGAGTTCTAAATTACTGTTCTGCGAAGATTGTCTTCCAGAGTAAGGCTGTTAAGTGAGTTGTCATCATGCAGGATCTAATTTGGGGTGGTTTTCTCTTGCTCCAGAAGATTTTCCAATACTTCTTCCTGTTGTGGCTGCGTATGTCTAAGTGCTTGGCAAAGTAACATTGTCCTTGTGGAACTCAAGTCTTCCCAGTGTTGGCACCTAGATCGCTGTCACAGTGCTACCCTAACACTACCACAGAAGGTTTAAGGGGGGTGGAGAAGGTGCTTCAGTTTCTGAAGGTATTTTCTGTTGGATGGTGGAAAAAGAGTGTGATTTACTTGAGACAGCTGCCCAAAAACGTTAAGGAACTAAAATCTAAACCAAGAAAAGCCATTTCAGGCTCTATTTTCTCTGGCTTTGTGAGAACGCAGTTATTGTGTTGATAATTGTATTCCCTCTGTCCCACTCGCCCTGTAATTCCTAAACCACATGTGCTGAACTGTTCAGAAACTAACTGGCTAAAAAGGAAGCATTTAAACAAAATGGGCAGGATGGAGAAGGATAAGGAGAAAAGACCATGTGTAAAACTCGCTTCCATGATCTCTGTGTAACACCATTCTAGTTTAAAAAAAAAAAAAAGTCCAGTGGAGCTGGAGCATCAGCATCAATTATACTGAATTGTACACGGGGATTGAAAAGGAACCTTTTTTTTGCAGAGTTGGTACTTAATAAATCCAAGGCCAGGCTCAAGGTCATTTAAATATTGCTAACCTTGAGAATAATGGGGTTTGGGGTCGTAAGTTTTTTTATATTCCTGTTACCTTTGACAAAGTCTATTTCTGTTAACATGCAAATTGCAGCTTTTCATTAGAATGTGTCAATTTTTAATTTCTTTGTAGATCAGAACTTTAATTTCACCACTTCTCCCCATTGTCTTTGATTTTGCTCTCCCT